ATTGGATGAAAGGGGTAAGTTTAGCATTTTGTGATTGCTACCTAAATTATTTTAATGCCAGCCATACAAGGCTGTTTGAAGGCTTGTGCATTATTGAAATTTCAGGGAATAACAAAACAAAATCCAAGGATATACAGAGGTCATCCATTAGTATTTTCAGTGATTACTACTTAAAAACAACTTGGGACTCAATGTCATTGGTTTATTAAGATTGTCATATATAGATATTAACAGGTAATTACACTAGCTACCTTCCAACTCAAATCCAGGTAAACATCATCAATGGATTACATGCTATCTTGTAGATGTAATTGATTTTTAAATAATTATTCCTCTATTTGGGGACAGTTGTTTTTGTACCTTTTAAAACAAATAAAACAGTGATGACTGTTCTATAAATTTGTGCACAAACCCAATATAAAAATTGGGTCGTATAATGAATATTTTTTATGACACTTGCCTTTTTTTTTTTACTTATACCCAATTCTGTATCAGTACCGATAGCTATACCTTTATTTAAAAACAATTACTTATATACTTTTGTTGTGTACGTGTATTATAAGATTTAGTCATTTCTTTATTAATGGACATTTAAGTTATTTACAAATAAAATGAATATCCTTTAAGTTTGTGTGTTTGAGGAAGTATTTCTGTGCATGTAGTCCTAGAAATAGAAATTACTAGTTCAAAGAGTGTGTGAATATTTCAGATTTTAACATCTTTTGCCAGATTGTCCTCTAAAGGTTGAAAATAGGTAATCTTCCCTAATTCCTAAGACTAGATTTGATTCCTTTGCTATAAGATTTTGTAATGTCCTATATTTTCATAACCGTTGCAACAGTTGTCTGTTATTAGCCTTCTCCAGTAATTTATCTAACTACATTGGCTAGCACAGTGCCATTTTGTTACAGTAGGCATTCACCAAGTGTAAGTTAAATTGAATTTTACCTGCAGTTTATATGTGTGGAAGATGGGAAGTTAGAGTAGAAATTTGCTTTTCTGGTTTGTTTTTTTTTTAGAGTTCCTCCCCCTTCTCTAAACGTAGCCACTTTGACAAGTAGTTCTGGTGGTTTGTGGATCTTTAGTCTTGCTGTGTCTTTACATGGAAATTTTCTACCAGCCGACAGGCTTTGCCTGCTGCTGGGAAAGTTGTACCTAATACATTATTGATGTCTCCTCCTGCCTGCTGCACAGCCCAATAAAGGGCCAGGCTCTGCTTTAAGCCTAAGTCTCCAGTACCCTTTCCAGAAGGGCAGGCCCTTCTGACTTCAGTATCTTTCTTTAACCTGTTTGTGTATCGATATTTCTCTTTTTTTAAAAAATATATTTCTCTTGAATGAGCAGAAGCGATGAGTTCTTTCACTGATTTTTGCTGGATGATGATGTCTTTATTTCTTCTTCTTTATTTTTTTAAAAATATATTTTATTGATTTTTTTACAGAGGAAGGGAGAGGGATAGAGAGTCAGAAACATCGATGAGAGAGAAACATCGATCAGCTGCCCCCCCGCACACTCCCTACTGAGGATGTGCCCGCAACCAAGGCACACGCCCCTGACTGGAATCGACCCCGGGACCCCTGAGTCCGCAGGCCGACGCTCTATCCACTGAGCCAAACCGGCTAGGGCTATTTCTTCTTTTTAAAAATGTCTTTGTTGCCTCGTTTTAAGGTAGAGAAGTTCTACAAACCTTGGGTGACACCAGTGATTTTCCACTAAAGCTTTATTGAAGTTTATCTACTTACAAAACATTTTTATCCAGTGCCATCTCTTTTTCCTTTGGTTTAGATAACCTCAAAATCTCTGACTTCGGCCTGGCAACAGTGTTTCGGCATAATAATCGTGAGCGTTTATTGAACAAGATGTGTGGCACTTTACCTTATGTTGCTCCAGAACTTCTAAAGAGAAAAGAATTTCATGCAGAACCAGTTGACGTTTGGTCCTGTGGAATAGTACTTACTGCAATGTTGGCCGGGGGTAAGAGTTGTTTAATCATGATAAAACTTATCTCCCGTGGAAAGACAGATTTGTTATTCCAAAATCAATGAAATAAGCCAAGGGCATCCATATTTATATGACAGGATTGTAATAGTAAATTATTTATAATTAAGTTGGAACTTTTCATCCCAAAGGTTTTTAAAAATGAGGTATGTATAGGCTATTAAACGAAATGCAACAGTAGCTTTTAAGATTCATGCGAATACTTTTGGAAAGAGTAGGGCAGGAAGTGGTTCGGCTCATCGATCTTTGAGTGCTTCTGAAATTTTTGTGAGCTGGTATTCTTAGTTTGAAAACGATTGACGTAACTAGGAGGAAATGGATTTGTATTGTTATTTTCCCTGGAATCTTTACTGCATAATGATATGAACACTCAGGAAACTTGTTTCTTTTTTAGAATTGCCATGGGACCAGCCCAGTGACAGTTGTCAGGAATATTCTGATTGGAAAGAAAAGAAAACATACCTCAACCCTTGGAAAAAAATCGATTCTGCTCCCCTAGGTAACTGATTGAAAGTACTGATTTCTTGGATAATGAAGTGTCGTGCTGTTTGATTATTTTTTCTTACATTTTCTTTTTAGCTTTTACGTTATCATATAAGTAATCTATAATTCTTGTAAATAAATATAAAAATGATAAAAAAAATTTAAAAATTGATTTCAGAGAGAGAAACATCAATGATGAGGGAGAATCATTGATCGACTGCCTCCTGCAAGCCCTACACTGGGGATCGAGTTGCAACCTGGGCATGGTTCCCTGACCTCCTGCTTCATAGGTCAACACTCAACCACTGAGCCACGCTGGCCAGGCAATAAAAAATTTTTAAAAACCAGTCCTATAATCCCTGAGAAATAGCTTATTTTAATATTTTGCTATATGCTTCTATACTTTGTTGCAAAATATATGTATTTATGTGTGTTTTTACTAAAAATGAGATTACACAATATTTTGTAATCTTTCTTTTTGTGTGTGTTAATGCTTTGTGAACTTTTCCTATGATTGTAATTTTAGGCCTACGTCATTGTTTATAAAGACTCTGAAGGTGTTCTACCATATGGACATTCCTTATTATACTCATCCGGTTCACTTTTTTAGAGATCTAGATTTTTTTCTAATTTCTTCCTGATATGAAAGAGAGATAATGATCATCCATAGAACTAAATCTTTGCACATACCTTTAACTTATTTTATTAAAATAAAACCCCAGAAGTGGAATTGCAGGGTGAAGGACATTTGTAGTTTTTAATTATTCTAGTTTCCTTTGCCAAGTTGTTTTTCAGAAAGTTCATATATTTCATTACAATGTCATTAATTTACCTTAAAAAATAATTACTTTAATAGGCCTAAAAAAATATATTCAGTGTTTTTTGTTTTTTAAATTTAGTACCAATGAGATTGTATATCTTCAATGTATTTATTAGTTTTTTAAACGTATTAATGTCATTAGATCTTTGCATTTATTTTTTATTGAATTTATTGGAGTGACATTCGTTAATAAAATTATATAGGTTTTAGATATACAATTCTGTAATACATCATCTGTGTATTGTCTTGTGTGTTTACCATCCCAAGTTAAGTCTCTTTCCATCACCATTTACTTACCCTCTCCTACCTTACAATCTGGGCATTTGTTACAAATACTTTTCACAATTTGTCATGTGCTTTTATTTTATTTATGCCATTTTGACATGCAATAAGTTGTGTATTTTTACTTATTTAAATCTATTATCTTGTCCTTTGTGGTTCCTGGTGATATTGTCATGTTCGGAAAGGTCTTTTCTATTCTAATGTTAGAAAAAAATTCCCCATTACCTGTGTTTTTTTTATTATTTAAACCTTTTGTCCATTAGAAAATTATTTTTGTGGTTGGAGATATATGAATTTGTTATCAAGGTAATTAGGATGCTGGAAAGTAAATTTTTAAAATAAAGCTGTGAATGAGTACTTAACATGACATTGGAACAAGTTTGGTATTGCAAATGGATAAGTTGTATCTTTTTGTTAATGTTGTCAGCTGGGGAGGAGCAGTTCTACCTGGTGGTTATGCTACTATCTGCAAATAATTGAAAATCAGACCTGGGCAGACTATTCTAAGAGATAGACAGTAGCGAAGAACAACTGCATGAAATTAAAGCAAGAATTTAGTAGCTTTAATAATTTATTCGTTCTATTCCCCAGAAATGATATTTGGACATAAGGAGAACAAGAGAGAGATGTGTTCCATACCACAAGCTATAGGCTTTTCTAATCTGCATGACTCTTTTGTAAATGTCTGTCTTAATGTTTTTTATTTTCAGCTCTGCTGCATAAAATCCTAGTTGAGAATCCATCGGTAAGGATTACCATCCCAGACATCAAAAAAGATAGATGGTACAACAAACTACTCAAGAAAGGTAGTATCCTTAAAATACAAGTATTTTTATTCTGTGAAATTAGGAATTTGACAAAGAGTGCAGACATTTTGAAATAATCATTGTGGAGAAAGGGAGAGGAAACTGTGGAGAGAAACACAGGACTGACTGTCAGTTGTGGATCAGCTGAGGATAGTAACCGTGAATTGATAGTGGCATCATTTTCTGTTTAACGAGTGCTCTTGTTACAGCGTCTCCAGTGGAGCAAGGAATGTTGGATAGAGCAAATTCATAATGTTCATTGCCATGATCATAGATTGTTTTTTTTATTTTTTAAAGTTTTCATTCTTTAGCTAGGTTTCTCTGCCCTCATAGAACATTTTTCTATTACCATAAAGGGTACCAATAAAATTACGGCCTTGTACTCCACCCGTGGAACACACTTACTGATCAGTATTTGTATAATTTGTCAAGTGAAGCCTAGTCAGTTCAAAACGACCACATTTCTCATAAAATCGCGTAGAAGGAGCCACTATTTGTTGGATAAGTATTTTGGTGTTAAATGAATTCAGATGTAGTTTCACTTCTTCAGATTGCCAGTTATATTAATTAAAAAGTATTGGCGTAGAAGACTTTGAAAGCATTTGTATTTATTTTATTTTTTAGGAGCAAAGAGGCCCCGAGTCACTTCGGGTGGTGTATCAGAGTCTCCTGGTGGATTCTCTAAACACATTCAATCCAATTTGGATTTCTCTCTAGTAAACAGTGCTTCCAGGTAAGGTTAATTCATCAACATCAAGTGCCTGTGGAAGGTGATATCCCCCATGTAAAGCCATATTTATATGTATTTTCTGTTAATAGAGATTACCACTTTTATTGGTGTGAGAATTGTAATGTGATACTAAAAAGCCTGAAAAATTTTATTTAAAGTTATATATTTCCCCATATCTTAATGTCTTAGTGAAGAAAATGTGAAGTACTCCAGTTCCCAGCCAGAACCACGGACAGGTCTGTCCTTATGGGACACCAGCCCGTTATACATTGATAAACTGGTACAAGGGATCAGTTTCTCCCAGCCCACGTGTCCGGACCATATGCTTCTGAATAGTCAGTTACTTGGCACCCCGGGATCCTCACAGGTAAGAGAAGTTAGTGTGTAAGGTGAATAATGGAAGCCGTGTGTTTTTTATTGTCTTAAAGTCTCTCTTTTAAATGTATAAATCTTAAAGTATTAACACTTTATATCGATTTTTTTCTGACAAGGAAGAAATAATTAGAAGAGACCTTTATGTATAAGAACCTTAAATCACAGAAAAAAGAATTTTAAGACTAAATAGCTATATGTCTTCTTTTGGTGATAACAGATTTATTCTGCTTTCCTTTATTTGGCATGTAGAACCCCTGGCAGCGATTGGTCAAAAGAATGACACGGTTTTTTACCAAATTGGATGCGGACAAATCTTACCAATGCCTAAAAGAGACTTGTGAGAAACTGGGCTATCAATGGAAGAAGAGTTGTATGAATCAGGTATATTTCATTCATTCTTCATGATATCTTTTCCTGAAGAAAAATTTAAATATTTGACTAAAAAACTATCATCAGTATATTTTTAAAATATAGAGTAATTAGTTTGAAAAAGAAACAATGGAAATTGAAGGAATTTAAGTAAAATGTTCTTTAACTTAAATATTTTTTTAAAGACTTCTCTAAGTTATTAAAGACATTGAGAGTCAAGTAATTATTTTCTCAAAATCGATCCATACTTAAATTGTAGAAGTAACAATCAACTTCCTTCTATGAAAGATGAATACATTAACAATCCCACACTTTCTCCATGTCCTCTGCTCCCATCTACCAGTTTTTGTTTATATCACTACTAGAGGCCTGGTGCATAGGATTTGTGCCCTGGTCGGGGGCATGGCCTGTGGGGATTGGCCCACTGTGGGAGCGCTGCTCATCCCGATCAGCCGAGTGGCTATGGACCCGCCCTCCGAGGTCTGCTCTCTGGTCTGGCATCTTCCGTGGAGCCAGAGCACTCGCCTCTCCAGGGGACCCATTGGGGCCAGGCCCAGGGACAAGAGCACTGAGAGGCAGCAGAGTAGGCCTCAGTCCCGTGGCGTCCATGAACCCACCTTCCAGCCTCCAGGGTCAGGTCTGCGAGCCCCTTGCTGGCATTCGGAAGAGGTGGCAGGGAACAAGGAGGAAGAGGAGGAGGAGCCTGGGGTGAGGAATTGACAATCGCAGCCCGGGTTCCTGCCCATTGGCTCCAGGTTCACAGCGGGAGCTGCTGCTCATCCTGGTCAGCCCAGCGATGTTCCCACTGTGGTAGCGCACTGACCACCAGGTGTAGCTCCTGCATTGAGTGTCTGCCCCCAGGTAGTCATTGCGCATCGTAGCGACTGGTCGACCAGTCATACTGCCATTCGGTTGCTGGGCTTTTATTATATAGGATAGCATATTTGGAACATTGACATTCTATTATCTTAAGCTTTTCAAAACTCTTAGTATTGTGACAAACCAATAGGGGAATATTTCCTAGTATTAAAAGAGACTAAAGGGGCCTGATAAATAATGCAATCACTAGGTCATGGATTTAAAGGAAAAAAGCTATAGCAGATGTTCTTGGATCAATTGGGGAAATTTGAATATGGGTTTTATATTAGCTAATGTTTTTGTACCAGTGTCAGATTTCTTGGGTATGATCATAAAATTGTAATTTGTCAGAGGATGTCTTGGGTTGTAGGAGAAATATGGTGAAGTTTATACTGTTCATAACTTAGTTTAAAAAGAAACAACCAACCACATAAAAAAATGCTATACCACATACTTATCTAGGTTGGTAAGGCCAATGAAGGGTATGGCTTTATTTATTATACGGTTCCTTCAGTTCTTCTGCAGATACATGAGCTTTAAAAATTA